CGTCAAGGCCACCCTGCAGTGCGACGACGGCGTCGAGGCCGACGACCTGCAGCGCGTGCCACAGCGCGTCCTCCGCCACGTCCGCCGTGGCGCCGAGCAGCATGTTGCTGCGCCACGTCCCCCCAATCAGCAGCGGGTCTTGCGGGACCAGCATGAAGCGCCGGCGCAGTGTGGGGTACGGGATCCGCCGCGCGTCAAGGCCCCACACGTAGATGCCGCCGCCCTCAATCACGTCGACGAGCCGCAGCAGAACGTTAAAGACGGTCGACTTGCCATTACCGGAGCGGCCAATGAGCCCGATGCGCTCGCGTGCGTATATTACCAGGTTCACGTGGCGCAACGCGTACGGCAGAGACTCGCGGTACTTCGCTGACACGTCCACAAGTTCGACAGCCGGCGGCTGCGGAGCCGTTGCGGTGGATGCTACCCCGCTGCTGGGTCCACTCGCCGGATCCTCCCTGCAGCGCTGCATGACTTGGGACGGTATGGCGCAGGCACCAAGGGGCGTGAAGGCAACGTTCCGCTCCGTCGTATAGCCCTTTCCACTTGCTGCTGCTTCTTCTTCTTCGTGTGTCTGCACCCCCTCTGGAATAATAAGTGGTTCCTCTGGAGCCTGCTGCAGCCCAAGGAGCTGTTCGACGCTGACAAACTGCATCTGGAATGCACCGACACCGCGGCAGAGGAGCATGAGCGTCTGTGAGGTGTTCAAACAACACACAACGGCGACACCGGCGAATGCAGGCGGCATGATGTAGGACGCGAACAGCACACCGAGCAGTGCGGCTGTTGTGGTCATAAGCACTGTGATGAGCTCGAGCCGCAGATTCACCCAGCAGTCTGCCATGTGCCCAATCATGCTCGCCATATTTGTGACGTCCATTGCCTTGCAGTACTCCTCACGGAGGACTTCCTTCAGCCCGAGGCAGCGGATGACTGGCGCCCCCTCAAGCACCTCGTGTAGGATCGCAACGGGGCCCCGTACCGACTTGTTCTCAAGCCGCCGCACCTGCCGTGCCACCGCCAGGTAGCGCTCCACCACATGATGGAACGACAGTATCGTCAGCGGCACGATGAGGACGAACCATGGGTTCACCACCGCGTTAAAGAGAACAATGGCCAGCATCTGCAGCGCGCCCGTCGTCATGGCATCGAGGGACTCACCAACACCGTGGTCGGCTGTCTCCTGGTCNCGGCTGAAGATACCAGTGATGGTGCTGCCAGCGTTCACATCGAAGTACGACACCGGTGCACGAAACATGCGCTCAACCGCCGCGGCGTGGATGTGATTGATCGCGTTCCGCACAACGTGGAAGGAGACACGCATGCGTGGAATTGCGAACACCGCCGCCGCCGCACCCACAATAAAATAAAGCAGGAGGAACACGACGGGGCCTGTGGGCTTTCTCGAGATCCACAGACTCAGCCAGACGTCTCGGCCGAACTGCAGCACGTGCTGCACAACGCCGCTGAGCACAAGCCAGAACAGACTGGGGCCCATGAAGGAGAAGAAGCGACCCAATTGCGCGCGGCCGTGGCCAAGACTGTTGCGTCCTAGGCTGTGTGAGCCACGGCGGTGGTGGTGGTGGTGACCGCTGCTGCAACTGTCATCACTGTCGCGGCTCTCGTCGCTGCCCTCGTCGTCCGCCTCGGAGGACTCGGGCGCCACCATCGCCTCCTCGCACTCCGCGGCGTACAGGGACGTCATTCGATGCTCCGCCGCCACCTCCACGACGACACCATCCCCGCGCACTGTAAAGAGCCGCTTCGGCTTCAACTCCGCGAGCCCGACATGTGTGGCAAGTATGACGGTGCGGTTCCGCAGCACACCGTGGAAGACACGCTCAATGATGTGGGCCTGCAGGCGGGAGTCAAGCGAGGCAAGAACGTTGTCAAGCACATACACATCGGCGCGGGAGTAGAGTGCACGCGCCAACGCGACGCGCACCCGCTGCCCCGCGGAAAGATGCACGCCCTTGTCGCCCACAACCGACTCGTCGCCCTTGGCAAGTGCCTCGAAGTCCTCGTTGAGGGCGCACGCCCTCGTGACAGTGCCGTACCAACGCGTGTTGTAGGTATCATCCAATACAATGTTTGCGCGTATCGTGTCGTTCTGCAGCCATGGTGTTTCAGAGCAGTAGACGGAGCGGCCAAAGACGTAAAATCCGTCGGCAGAAGGCTGGAATTCGTCCAAACGGCCACATTTAATCCGCGTGGTCATTGACGAAGAAGCAGTAGAAGCAGTTGCAGATCTTCCCGCCTCAGAAGGCGTACGCGGGTTCTCTGTGGTGGAGACACCGGCAGCAACCGAAGATTCAGCAGTATCGGTCGTGGTGGCGGGGTTTGTGACATTACAGCAGCGGTTCACCTCGCCAAGCACCGCCAGCAGCAGCGTACTCTTTCCCGCGCCGACGGGCCCCTGCACCACCACCAGCTCTCCTGGCTGTATCAGCATGTGCACGTCGCGCAGCACCGGCGTGGGCACCTCCGGTGTGCCGTCGTCCTGCCAGGTAAAGGTGCCGCCGTGGCATATCACCGTGCCGCGCTGCTGCGACCAGTCGGCGGTGAGGTCTACCCACGTGCCCAGGAACTCGTCAGGTGCCTGCTGCAGGTAGCCTTCAATGCGGCGCAGCGACGCGTACCCGCGCGGGATAGCGGCCACGAGCGCCGGCCACTCGCTAACGGCGCCGCGGAGTAGGTACATGGCCACGAGTGCCGGCACCACCACATCCGCTGTGAGCGGGCCGCCGACAAAGTAGTAGGCGGTGTAGCAGGTAGAGGTGAGCAGCACACCGATTCCCTCCGCTACGCAAGCAGCACGGGCAACAGCCTCCATCGCGCCCACTTCGCCACGCGTTTCTTCCTGTCGCGCAACGTGGATACGGTGCAGGTAGGCGTCCTCTGCTCCCATCGCCTTCACTTGCCGCATTGACGTCACCGCCTCACTGACGAGCTCGACGCGGTCGACGGTACGGGCTGTACGCTGCTGCTGCGCGGTATGGACCTCTGAGCCAGTGATGCGCTGCAACGGGAGGGAGAGAAGCGCAACCGCGAGTGTCGCAAGGGTAGGGATGGTGCCAACGTACAGGTGCAACACGTATAGCGCAGCCGCTGCGAGACATGGGCAGCGCCACGACTGATGGAGCTGCAGCAACGCGCTGCTGCATCTTGCGGCGTCAACTGTCATAAGATGAATCACCTCACCCTCAGTGCGTGTGCGCTGCGCCAACGGCAGCGCTAGCGTCTTCTCGAGCACCAGAGCCTTAATCGCCGTGGCCGCTTCCAGCGACGACAGGTACAGCTGGCTCACGTATTCCTGCTGCAGCACCGCACGCGCCAGCAGCACGAGCATCAAAATTCCACAGATGCCTAACGCATTGTCAACGCTCCCAACTCCGCCCTTTTCCATGATGGCAATGAGGCGATACACAATAGCAGGTGTCGTTAGACTCAACGCGTCCGAGAGAATACGCATCGGAGTACACGAATACATAAAGCGACGCCCACTGCGGTGCTCAAGGAAAGGGGTAAAGAGACCGATATCATGCGATTCCATGTCCGCCCCCCGTACCTTCTTTCCCATATCCCGTGATGCGTGCGAGCCCTTGTTGCTGCCGTTATTGCTGTCGACACTAGTGCTTCTGCAGGTGCTGTCCATACGTCTGCCGATCTGATCCTGCTTCCCTTCGGTCCGCTCCACTTCTCCGCGTCTTCCACTTACGCCACTAATAAAGAAGCACACAAACACCCTGCGCAGCACCCATCGCAGCGGTGTAGTTACAAAGAGCAGCGCATCTTCAAGAAGGGAACGCTTCGGTCGCTTCGGCCGAAGCTTCGCACCTGTGAGCGGGCGGCGCTGACTGATCGTCACGTACGTCTTGTCGTCTGAACTCTCATCGTCATCGCCACCACCAGCGCCACCACCGCCACCGCCGCCGCGTGCGCCGCCAAAGTCGAGACCTTCCGCGCCCCCCTCTGCGCCGCCTGCCGTGCGTGTGGCGCCGAACCATGACCAGCGGTTTACCCACAGCTGCCACGCCGGTGCGGCGATGTTCTGCAGCGACGTGAAATCATCAGGGAGGGAAGGGAGGAAGCGCTGATGACGCAGCACCCCGCCATCCATGACGCTGAAGCCCATGAGCGGGTTGAGCCAGCTGTACGTGGCGCGGGCGAGCCAGCCAGCGTCCTCGAGAGACGGAAAGGCGTTGCCGGGGCGGAACTCATCCTCGCGATCAGAGAAGGGATTGTAGAGGGGGCGCGCCTCAGGCAGCTCGGCGGGTGTCATCGTGCCGTACGACTGCGACAGCACAAAGCTGCGGTTGACGCGCAACTTAAGCGGCTTCTTCTTCGGCTGCTGCTGCTGCTGCGCCGCCGCGGCGACAACGTTCTTCAACTCTTCTTCACCCTCCTCGTCGTCATCATCGTCGTTGAGCGGGTCGAGGATGCTGGAACTCCCCATGCCGGGTTCGAGGGCACTTGGTATGGAAGCCCGGTCGAGAAACAGTCTGTGGCAGCGGTGCCGCCAACGCCTCTGTGGGGCGTCATGCGGTAACGCAATGACAACTGTTGCGCTCGTATTGACGAGCATGGTGTCCAGTTCATCGTCGTCATCATCCTCACTGTCGCCTACTGCTTCCACCGAGAGTTCCCACTCCTCCCCGCAGAGAGGGCAGCGGCGACAGCCCTCAGACACCCCCAGCTCGCGCACCCCGACGATGGCGTCCAACACGCGCTGAAAATTCACCGCGACGCAGCCGAGGAGAATCGCGAGGCATGCAACAGTGGAGTAGTACACCACGCCCTCCAGTGAGGCGGCGTGCGGGAGCGTGTACAGATCCGGCGTCATCTGCATCTGGTCAAGAGGAAGTCTGCTATCAATACGAGTGTGGTTAAACACATGGTATGTCACCTCCCCACTGGGGTGGACCTTGGCGAATGGCACCCACGGGGCTGGAAATGCGGAGGATACTTGCGCCAGCCATATGAAGACGCGGAACGACGCCGGCTCGTGTCGTATGTACCACACCAACTCCATACCGCCAAATATCAGCTGCAACAAGGAGAGGTGACCGGTGAGTCGTCCCTGCGTCAGGACGACAAGGAGAAAAAAGGAAATTATCATATAAAAGTAGTAGTACACCAACAGTGACATCGGTGATGCCTCCCACGCAAGAAGGGAACTGCTTGTACCGTTTCCAGCTAATTTCCCGTGAGCGTACTCGATGTGAAACAGTGACAGTTCAGTGCGTTGGACCTCGCCCCCCATTGGGTGATAGATGTCCACCGTCCACACGTTCGACAGTTTTGTTCCGGCCTCGTCGTTCGCGGTGAGTGTTCTATATGCTTTTTCCTCCTCACGGAACTGCAGGGAGCGCATCGTGAGGGGTGACAGCACCACCACAATCAGCAGAGCGAGATGGAGCAAGTGGTACGCGATCGCGAGGGTGAATTGAAGATACGACTGCATCCGGTAGGACCACACGAAGCGTTGAACGGTGTCGCGGATACTAAGGCGCACAACCGGTGGGCGGCTCCCTTGTCGAAGCGCTGGGCGAAAGAGGAGGTGCTTTGTCTCATTGTTGCTGCCGCTGTTGCTGCGACTATTGGCGTCATCGTCGTGGCGGGCTGCAATGGAGTCATTAGAAGAATTTAGCGAAACATCGGCGTTACTCATCTTGCGGGTACACAACCTTCGTCCTGCTCCCTCGGCACACCACCAAACACAAAAGAACGAAACAAGTTAAGAGAATGCACACAGTAAATTGAGACATGACACACTGCGACACATGACAGCTTGGTTTTATCTGCTTCTTCTCC